TCAGCGCGACGGAGACCACCTTGTTGAGGGAGGGGGGGGGGGGGGCTGTTCCCAGCTGCCCAAGATCGTTATTGTCCAGGAAGCACGCGTTGCGCTCCATGACGGGCCGAATAGCAACTCTGAGAATCGACGTGTTCTGGTGGAAGCAATGCTTTGAGCCGCAGACAGGCTGCGCGGGCCACCCTCCACGGGAAGCAGGGGGGGGGGCGGACGGGCAGGCGGGGGGAAGCGGGTAGCACGCACAGCGAAAGGTCCCAGACAAGGCGGGCCGACGCCCCCGACCGGAGGGAGGGGGTGGGCACCAGCGGCCAGGCAATGCCGCGATCACTTGGGGCAGAAGTCCCATCCCCGCTGACGCTTGTCTGCGTAGTGGGTTTCACCTCTGGGGAGGACCGTTTCCCTTTGGCTTTCCAATCCGCGTCGGTCCATGTGCCTCGCTGATGGCCCCACTCGTCCCAGGACTGCCATGTACGCCAGGGTGCTGCCGATCCAGATGCACCTGTCCGCGCGGCAGCCCTGTCTTCAGTGGGCCATGGGGGGGTCTTTGTAGCCTCCTTGCCCTCGTCGGCCCACGGGGGTGAGCGTTCGCTTCCGATGGGCGCGTCGGCAGTGCGTGCTCTGATGTCGCGCTGCGTGAGTCTGCGCTGCTTCTCCATGACGCTGGGGCAGTCGACGTGGAGTTGGTATCCTCTGTCCATCCTGTAGGCGTCGTACCCCATTTTGCTCCATGCCTGGAAGAAATCGTCGCACTGCTGTACCGTGTTTCGCCTGGGGTCGGACTTGATGTTGGCCCAGGCGCCCCCTTGCCCATAGGCTGCTTTTCTGGCCCAGGCGCTCCACGCCTCATTGAACGCGCCCCCCCCAGCGTCTTCTGCATTCGTGTGATCTTATCTGGTGCCGGCTCGTCCCTTGCGACGTCTGCATCGTCGAAGGGTCTCAAGCGCATGGGGGGGCCTCCCATGGGATCATCCGGGCGCGCTGGTGGGATTGCTGCGGTCCGTGCGTCGCGCCACCAGCCCTGGGCGCTGCGACGCGGCCTGGATGCGCTGCGAGGCGGCGTGGCTGAGCGTTCTCTGGCGCTGCCTTCGTCGACTGTGGGTGGTCGGCGGCCCGCTTCGTTCCGCGATTGTCTAAGCGTCCTGCCGTCGCTGACTGCGCGATAGCTCCTGGCCCGCTCCTCTCTGGGGCGGGCTTCGACCCTCCTCCATGCGTCACTGGGTGCTCCTCGATCAGTAGCCTGCGCAAACGGGGGCCAGGCTTTCGAGTCGGCCCTGCGGGGGGGCTGGGTCCAGAAGGGGGGGGGGGGGGCTTTGGGCCGACCTCCGGTCGGCGGGTGCTGGACCGCTGGCATCGCCCTCCTGATGTGTAGGGCTGGCCTGCGACCCGGAGTCAGCTGAGGTATCCGGCGGGCTGCCGCGTGCCTGGACGTCCGGCTCGGATTTCTTGTCGGCGTCGTCATCCCAGTCAACCCCTTCCACGTCGCCGTCGCCATTCCAGTGCTCTGATGAGGACGGCGCCTCTTCTGGGGCCCCATCGGGCTGGCCAGGCGCGTCGGGTTGTCGGGGTGAATCGTTTGCGCGGGTCGGGGGGGCGACGTGATCCCCAGCGTGTGGGTCGGTTGGGAGATTCCTTGCCCTGGGGCCTGTTGAGCCAGCCGGCGGCAGGAGACTCTTCTTCTGCCGTGCCTCTGGTCGTCGCATCCTGGGGCTGGGCGGCGAGTTCTATCGTTCCTCTGGTTAGGTAATTCTCCAGCCTTGTGAGGAACAGCGTGAGGACGTGCAGCGGCTGTCGGTAGGGGCCCTGCCCTTTCTGATTATCGTGGTTGCTTGCGTAGCGCTCCCATTCCTCCCGGTACTTTGGGTCGCTCTCCACCAAGTGTGAGACTACCCTGGCAGCCGCAGCCCTCTGTCCGCCCCATGGGATGCATGGGGGATGGCCGTTGCTTGGGATCTCTTCTCCGTAGATTGAATCAAGGAAGGGCAGCAGTTGCTCGAAGGGCCATCTCGTTTCGTCGGTTACATCGCCCTCGATGTCCTTCCCCTGTTGCTGCGCGAAGGCCGCCCAGAGGGAGTAGGCTGTGTGGCTCCACTCGATCAGGTACTTCACCAACGCACGGACAGGGCCTCTCGATCCACCCCCTGCCAGACGGAGGGTGGAGCACGTGGGCAGCAGGGGCGTCGGGGGCGGCAGGTCGGAAAAATAATAGTTGATGGGGACTCTATCGGCCGAACACCTTTGTTCACCGGGCTCAGTGGGGGGCCGAACCGACCGTTTCTCGCGTGGTGGGACAAGTGTGTCCGCGTCCTCGACTGGAGCCCTGCTACCTGGGGAGGGGTGCGTGGACATGTCGTAGTTGTAACTGTCCTCGGGAACGTCTGTTGTGGCCTGCCGCATGGTAGGGATGGCAGGGCACACCTCGTTGGAGTAGTGGTCGAGCATGTGGTCGAGGACGCCCGGGGCGATGTTCCAAATGTGAACAAGGCACCTCCTGCAGGCCCATTCCGCGTTCCACTGCCGCCTGATCCATAGGGAGGGCATTACCTCCCACGGCGGGAGGCCTGTCTGCTCGTCGCAGTTTGCTTCTGCCTCAGGGCGCCGCATGAAGCATCCGAGGGCTGGACAGCCCGGCTTCCGTTCCAGCGAGGGGGCGCCCAGGGGACAGGTGTCACACGTGGCCGAGTGCATTTGGGTGTGGTGCGATTCTGCACCAAACCTGCCGTCGGTAAGCCTGTGGGGTGGGAGGGTGGTACCGGCGCTGGACGGCTGGAAGAAGCGCGGCGCACGCATGACGAGGGGCTTCAGGGTGGAAGGAACCGGGGCGCCGTGTGGCCGACCGAACCCCAGCGGGAAGCTGGACAGCGAGGGGAGGGTCCGGGCTCTCTTGCGCGCTCGGTCTTCTTCCAATCTGCGCTTATACTCCTGCAGACGCTGCTGCATGGCCTTCTTGGCACCGCCATCAGCCTGGTTGGGGTCGGGAACCTGCACTCCCTTTCTTTCCAGGGACCTGACCCAACACAACTCACAGAGCCATCTGCAGATCTTTCCCTTCATGTATGCCTGTGCGCGGTTCTGTGCTAGCAGCTCACGGGCGTCGTCATCTTCCCAGGTGCCAGCTGCGCCCTGCAATCCCGTGCTGGTGCAGCCGTCGCAGTTGTAGCTGGCATCCTTCAGCAGCCTGCAGAATCGCTCGTCCCGTACTATCGGGGGGGATAGCGTTATACCGGGAGCTGGTGAGGCCGGGAGGTCCTCGTCGAGGCGGCGGCTGAACATCGCGACCCCGCCTCCTATGTACCGCAGGTCGGACATGGTGCGTGGACTGCCGAGCCCCTCTTCCGAACCAGTCAGCGCCTTGTGCAGCTGGCATATGGAACAGTATCCAGTGCTTAGCTGGTTGACGTCCGCAGGCTGGACAATCACTTCCAACACGCGCATGGGGGCTTCCAGGGTGAACTCGTGTTCCTGCATTCCTGCCCATGTCTGGGGCCATTTGTGCGTCGCCGCAGTTTGATGATGATGAGCGAAGGTGGCCAGCGTGACAATATGGCGAATGACCTGCTCCATTTTGGCGTGGAGGGAGGCGAAGTCGGCAAGCTTGAAGCCCCACGTGGCAGCAATGGCTGCGGAATTCCTTGTTGGCTTCCTGCCAAGGAAGGCATATACCCATCGCCGCTTCTATGATGTCACTTGTGGCCTCTGGATGAAGGAGTGGCCAGAATGCAGCGCGCGGTTCCCGCAGTTGCAGCATCATCGCCACAAGTAAAACTCTGAGCGTGGGGGCGTTGGGTGGGCGCCCGTCATTTCCACGTAGGGCAGGCGTGAGAGCCGAATCGAACTTTTCGGGGCGGAGCAATGAGTGTAGGCGTTCCATCCCAAGGTGCACCCGGTGGCGTTCGCAGCTGCATGTGGCAGGGCCCCAGGCAGCGGGGAACAGGGGGAGGGCTGGTGGGGATATTTTTTTGTTCGGCGGCTCGAAGGACAGATCCAGCGAGCGGGAATAACGTTCTTGGGCACAGAGCGAGATAATTGGCTGCAGTGGCACGTAGGCCGCTGTAGCGAATGCACGGCAAAGGGGCGAGAGGCCAAAAGATTACCCTGCAAAAACACTGAACGGATGCCAGCGGTAAAGAAGCTGCCACAGGTGGACAACCAACGAACACAAGCCAGACCCGCAGGTGGGGAACCTGACCGGTGGCCGAAAAAGAGAAAGAGAGAGAGAGAGAGAGCAGAGCGCCAGGTGGCGCGCGCGAAGCAAAGCGGCCCGCAGCCTGAGACGAGGCGCGAGCAAGGACCACTGGGCAGATGCCAGTGAGCCAGGGCACCAGGATGTACCGCACTCGCAAACAAGGCGAAAACGAGCTGGTGGGGATACGCGAAGCGTCAAGAATTTCGATGCGAATCCAGCGGTGGCGGCGAGGGCCTCCCAAGAGGCCCAACAAGGGGAAACGAGGCAAGGGTAGCGGTATGGGTGCCTCTTCCTCCTCTGACCTTGTCATCGCTCAGACGTCCGAATAAACATGCACACTACCGAACGATGCCAAGCCGACCGCTGGAGCTTACCCTTGTGCACCACGCGGCCCTCTGCAAGCAAGAAGCTGTGCTCAGGGATCGCAAGCAGCTATTATTCTTTCGGTAGGGCGTCCACACAGGACGAGCGCGCTCAACCACGCACATGAATACGGGCCTCCAGTCCGCGGATCAGCCTCGTGATACGATCGTTCGCGCAATGCGTACATTCGAAACCGTCGTGGACTCATGTACGTGTACTGATGCACCTGTTTTCCACCACCACCACCACCATAAGTTGGAGGGGGAGGGGGCTCTCCTCCTCATCCTCCTCCGCCTCCTTCTCCTCCTGTTCGTCCTGCTCCTCCTCCTCCTCCTCCTCCTCCTCCTCCAACTCACGGTGGTGGTGGTGGAAAGCAGGCCCATCGTGTACGTCCTTCTTTCGCTCCCGATTCGGGACGGCGACGGGGCTCGACGAAGGCGGCCGCCCTCGAGGCCTGCTCGAGCTGGCTGGCCGCCGCGGCCAGCGCCACCTTCTCCGCCGCGGACGCGCCCAGCGCCGCCTCCAGCTCCGCCTGCGCCGCCGCCCCCCTCGAACCCGCCGCCCCGCCCCCGCCCACCAGGGCTGGACCTAAACAGTGTTTTTCGTTTTCGTTTAGTCTTCGCTTTCCCTCGTTTTGTCTTCAATCCGCCCTTCCCGCACAATGACATCTAAACGAAAACGGCCCACGAAATCGCCAAAACACCGTTTAGGTCCACCCCTGCCGCCCACGCCCCAGGTGCGGCCAGGTGCGGCGGCAAAGCTTTTTCTTGGAGGGGACTTGGGGCCCTCTCGGGCTGTCCTCCCTTGGGAGCCTCTCGGGGCAATGTTGGGGCGACCTAGGAGGCGCTGGGAGCCGTCTGGAGCCGTTCCTGGGGCGAACTGGGGAGAACGGGACAATTCTTTCTAAACATCTGCTGGACATCTACGATGTGGGCCTCATGGGGCCGTCGTCGGGGTCCTCTTGGGCCCTTCGCGCCCGACCTATCGTCACCCAGAACCATCGATAGCATCGATCCCCGATCCGTCGCCGTCGTCGTCGTCGCCATCGCCGCCGCCGCCATCGCCGTCGTCGCCGCCCACGCCGTCGTCGCCTCCGCCGCCGCCGGCGCCGCGGAGGGGCCGCGGCAGGAGGCCCGCCTCGCGGGCACGCGCCGCGTCCGCGCGCTGCTCCGCGCAGGAGGCGCGGCCGTCCGAGAGCGCCTCGCGCGCGCGCGCGGGCCACGCGCCGTCGGCCCCCCCCACTGGCGGTCTGGCTCGGCACCGTTGGGCCTTGCCTCGGAGGCGGGTCAGGTCGAGACGACGACGACGACGCCGCCGCCGACGACGACGACCAGCAGGGCCTCGGAGGATCGCAGGAGGGCCAAGCCGAGACGGCGGCGGCCGGCCCCGGGCGCGTCTTCGTGGAGCGATGGGGGGGGGGCCCGCGCAGCAGGGGCACACCATCAAGCTGGAATCGGCGATACCTCGTCAATAGATTGGCGAGGAGGCCCCTGATAATGATACCGCACGTTCCCGGGCGGGGTGGGCGCTCAATCTTCTTTCGGCGATGACTGGGCGATCCGATCCCCCTGGCCCTATCCCCCTGTCGTTGCCGTGAACCATCCTCCCCTATCGTTGCCCCCGAGTGTGGGGACATGCCGTGCCAGGACCTCGGAACACCAGAAGGCCTCACCACACGGTCGCCGCTGAATGGTCTCATGACCTAGGAGGCCGAGGCCGCCCGAGGCATCCTCGGTGAAAGACCCATAGGTCCCAAAACGGTCCGCTGGCCCAAAATCCCCACTGACCTGCTTGGTGGTGTAGCCACTCCGCCGTTACAGTCAAACTGATACTAAGGATGCGCGATAAGGATGCAAGCCCATTGGACGCCCATGCTGCAGCTACTTCGAGCGGGGCGGTTCATCGAAAGTGGTCAAGGATGGACCGAAGCTGCAAGGATTCAAAGGTGCCCTTGGGAAGGTTACACACCCTTGCCATCGGTTTCGACTGTACCCCCCTCCCCTCTGGGAAAGCCTTGGCCCCGTTGTCCGACCTGCCCCCCGATGTGGGGATACATGTGATACCTGTTGGGCTTCGCGGCGTCCAATCGCACCTCGAGGGGGTAGGCTGGTTGCGCTGAGGGACCCTGGCCAGCTGAGGATGGGGATCTGTCCGACGATGCTGACTGGTGACCGCACCGCCCAGTGAGTCAGAGGCGACCCTGGGAGAGCCGCAGATCGGTCTGCCCGTCGTGCTGGATGGGCGTCCGCGAGATCCCTGTGCTCGCCTGGCACCCAGTGGTGGCAGGATGTCAGGTATGGCGCGGGTGCACGTAGTTGATCCTCCTCCGTTCTGCGTTCTCCAACTCCTTCTACTTTTCGTCCTCCTCTGTCTCCCCTCTCCCTCCCCTTCCCCCCTCCGTCACCGCAATCCCTACCTCTTGATTCCCTCATATATCCTCTTCAATCCTTCCTCCTCCTCCTCCTCCTCCTCCTCCTCCTCCTCCTCCTCCTCCTCCCACTCCTCTCCCGCCAAGGGAGAGGGCCTTCTCCTTCTGCGCCTTGGCGGCCTCCGCCCGCAGCTCAACGTTCGAGGCCGCGAACTCGGTGGCTCTGACGTCCTCGTCCGGGGCCAGGGGGGTGCGCGGAGGCGCCCCAAGGGGGCTGCGCAAACGGAGCGCCACCGCGGGAGGTCCTCCCTCCTCCTCCTCCTCTATCTCCCGCTTCTCCGCCTCCCGTGTTGTTTCTCCAGTGTCTCCTGCACCCGCCGCTCGTCCAGCTTTCCCTCCGCCCCTCCTCCTCCTCCTCCGCCTCCTCCTCCTCGTCGTCCTCCTCGTCCTCCTCCACTTTCTCCTCATGCTGCTGCTCATCCTGCTGCTCCTGCTGCTCCCACATCTCGTTATTATTATTATTCGTCTTCTCCTCCTCCTCCTCCTCCTCCTCCTCCTCCTCATCCTCCCTTCTTCCTTCGCCGCCGTTGCCGCCGTTGCCGCCGCCGACGCATTCTCCTGATCATCATCCTGCCTACTCTGCTCAGCAGCTTGCCAGCGTTGACCTAAATGGACGTCGCGCGGTGCACGCACACTAGTTATATACGCGTGCGCTCTGAGGCAAACTACGTCCCTCCGAACGCGACAAACGACCGACTCGACCTGACCGAACGCAAACGACTGCAACGCAACCCAACATCGATCGCACCACACGCAACCGGTACAGAGGCAAGCGTACACCCAAGAACGACCATTGACGTTTGGGGAAGGGGGGGCTCTGGGTCTGGGCCAATGCGTCGTCGATCTGAGGGGGGGGGTCCCGACCAGTAGCTAAAAGCAACCTCAAAATGCAACCAACATCTGGACTAGGGCGGGGTTGGAGGAACGGCGGCGGCCCGCGCCGATCGGCGAAACAACACAATAGAAACGGCTACCGTAGGTCACTCCAGCGATAGGTCACTTTTACGCGTAGCCGAACGACAGACGACCGACCCGACCCGACCCGACCCGACCGAACGTAACTGGCTGCGACGCGACCGAACCGACCGCACCGCGAACCGCCCGTGGAGAGAGGCAAGCGGTGGCAAGCCTTCATGTCCGCCTCAGCCCGGGCGGCGACCGCAGCCTGCTCCGCCTCGCGGTCATCGGTGGCTCAATAGTGGGGTCCTGAGGGAATGGGGTCCTGAGGGCGAGGTGCCTCCAACAAAGTTCATCCACCCCTAGATCCATTCCGAGTCTTAGATCCCCATCCCGCGAGACCCCATCTTCGAACCATCGACTCGCGGTTACGAGGCCCTCTCTCTCCGCCTGCCTCGCCGGCCCGCCCCGTCTAGAGGACGTACTGTTATATCGGGCGTGTCCCCCTACAGGGGGCGTCGACCAAGAATAAAAAATACACCAAAAATGCCCCAAGAAGGTCAAATAATACCAAAATAATAGTCCCCAGACTATTTTTGAATTATTTGTTGGGTATTGTTGGGGTATTTTTTTATTTTTCGTCGAACATCCCCCTGTAGGGGGACAGGCCCGACTTAAACGTACTGCCATCGTGCTGCCATCAGGGGCGCCGAGCACGGAACGAACGAAAGGGTTCTCTCTTCGGCTTCTCCGAAGCCCCGAAGGCGCGCTCGGGAACTCAAACGTTCAGCCTGCGCTCTGACTCAGAGTCCGATGGGGGGCCTTGCCGGAGCCGTCTTGCGGGTGTACTGCGCTGACTTGGGGGCTGGCGGGGCCAGCCCGAGCGCACACGTCATTCCAAGACCTGGTGTCACCCTCGTGCTACCATAGTAGAAGAGGACAAAATTAACATACACACCAACTGTTGGCGCTCCGCGCGGCTTTCTTGGACCTGCACCGGACCCCCCTCCCTTGGCGCGCCGAGCGCCAAAAGTTCATGTGTTCGAACCATCGTTCTGCCACACGGGCCGTCGAATCCGAATCGAGGGGGGCGTCCCTGGCCACAGTGAGAGCCTCGGCTACGAGCAGGTGCCCCGACCGGAACCTGAGGAGCGGCCCCAGAAGACAGAGCCCCATCCTGAACTCCAAGCGGTCCTTACCTCCGGCGTATCGTCTGTCGCGGGCGCCGCGGCCGTTCCAGAGCGTCCCGACGGCGTTCCAGGAGCGTCCTGGAGCGCCTTGGAGCAATATTAGATATACACATGTTTACACATGTATATATGTATGAGTAGTAGTAGTAGTAGTAGTAGTAGGAGGAGGAGGAGGAGGAGGAGGAGGAGGATGTAAATGTACATGTGTGAGTGCATATATATATATATATATATATATATATATATATATGTATATATATATATATACATGCGAATTTCTCGCTCTAGGAACTCAAGGGGCCCCGACCCCAAATTCCGAAATCTCCTAGGGCTTCCCGCGTGCCCCCTGGGCTCCGGAACGTGTTCCCGCGCAAGTTGTTCGCCAAGGCGTTCCAACGGGCCCCGAGTCGCCAAACGATCACTCCAGGACGCTCAAGATGGCCCCCCAGACGGCCTGAGAGGCCCCGAAGACACCCAAGAGGCCTCCAAGAGGCCTCCCAAGAGGGCCCCAAGAGACCAAAATCATTGATCATCATTAGGTCTTTGAAGGATTTTGGCGTTCTCGCCTTCGGCTTCCCGACGCTGCCCAGACGGCCCTAGAGGCCGCCTAAGACCGCCCCAAGACGGCACAAGAAGCCTCCAAGAGGCGCCCAAAACGGCCCAAGAGGGCCCCAAGACGGCCCCAAAGGATCGAAAATCCCAGCCTTACGCCCCAAGAGGCCCCAAGAGGCCCCAAGAGACCCCAAGAGGCGCCCAGGAGGCCCCACGAGGCCCCCACGAGGCCCCCAAGAGGCCCCCAAGAGGCCTTCCAAAGGCCCAAGATTAATGTAAAACAGGCCCCACAGCGGCCCCCAAGAAGCTTCCAAACTGCCTCCAAGAGGCCTCCGAGACGCCCCCAACGAAATCCCACGAACATCCAATAGGCTTCAAACCAAAGACCCAGGCACGGTGGTGGGATGGGCCGAAGGCCATTTGTTGTCTCTCTCTCTCTCTCTCTTGTGTGTTTACATATAAACATATGGATATATACACACTTATATCTATACACGCACATATATATGCAAGTGCGTATGTGCGGATTATGTGTGCATGCATGCATATATGTATGTATGCATGTATATATACATACATATATATATAGATGGCTGAATGTATGGTTACACGAATGTGTGTATGCATGCATGTGAATATATGTATGTATGTATGTATGTATGGATGGATGGATGGATGGATGAATGGAGGGATGGATGGATGTAGGCGTGTATGTATGTATGTATGCAGATATGTACATATGTATGTATGTATGTATGTATGCATGTATATGTATGTATGTATGTATGTATGTATGTATGTATGTATGTATGCATGTATGCATGTATGCATGTATGCATGTATGCATGTATGCATGTATGCATGTATGCATGTATGCATGTATGCATGTATGCATGTATGCATGTATGCAGGTATGCATGTATGCATGTATGCATGCATGTATGTATGTATGTATGTATGTATGTATGCATGCATGCATGTATGTATGTATGTAGGTATGTAGGTATGCATGTGTGTATGTGTGTATGTATGTATGTGTGTATGTGTGTATGCATGCATGTATGCATGTATGCATGTATGTGTGATTGATGCATGTACGCACGCACGCACGCACACACGCACGCACGCACGCACGCACGTAGGTAGGTAGGTAGGTAGGTCGGTAGGCAGGTAGGTAGGTAGGTAGGTGGGTAGGTATGTGTGTAGTTATGTATGTATGTGCGCGCATGCTTATATGCATGTATGCATGCAAGTAGGTAGTAGGTAGGTAGGTAGGTGGGTGGGCGGCCGGGTGGGTAGGTAGGTAGCTAGGTCGGTAGGTAGCTAGGTCGGCAGGCAGGTATGTGTGTGTGTGTGTGTGTGTTCGTGTGTGTGTGTGTGTGTGCGTGTGTGTGTGTGTGTTGTGTGTGTGTGTATTCGTCCCAGGCCTGACGAAGGAAAGCCACCGATAGGTCGGCGATAGGCATCCCCGATAGCGAAAGCACGCTCACCATGGGCGGAAAGGAAGCCCAGGCCCTGATCGGCCTTGAGTGGGCGCTTGGGAGCCCATGCTTCCGGCCCTGGGCCACCACATGGAGGAGGAGGAGGCGGAGGAGGAGGAGAGACGGAGGAGGAGGAGGAGGAGGAGGAGGAGGAGGAGGAGGAGGAGGATTAGGAGGAGGAGGAGGAGGAGGAGAGACGGAGGAGGACGGAGGAGGGCCCCCCCCCTGCCGCGGCTGCCCCTCCGGCGCAGCTAGTCGCCGTGCACTCTCTGCTGCCGCCTCCAGGCAGTGCCACCAGGGGGGGTTATCACCACGCCGAGGAGGACCCCCAGGATCAAGTCGGGCCTGTCTGTCCCTCTGCAGGGGAAATATTAAGAAATAGTCAAAAATAGTCTGGGGACGATTTCTTGAGTATGTTTCAGCATCGTCCATTTTTTACGGCAAAAAAACGTCTAAAACCCCCCTGTAGGGGGACATGCCCGACCTAAACCCAGAACCATCCCGAGGGCCCAGAACCTACGAAACAATAAATCGTGCAAGAAGCTCCTCGGCCCTCGATCGGCGAGCCCAGGCAGGACGCTGCCGACTTTCGGAAGCTGGGCGAAAGCTGGCAAATCCGTGGCTGCTAAAACGGTCTTCCCAGAAGAAACAAACAACAAATTCCAGGAAGAAACCTCAGCGCGCTGGATAGTAAACGGGCTGCATCTCGGAGGACCAAGAACAACAAATATATCCCGGAGCTCCGTTTTGGCAGCCACGGGTTTGCCAGCCGTCGTCCGGCTTCTGAGACTTGCCTCAGTGAGGAGGAGCAGGAGAGCAGAGAGGAGCATGAGAGGAGGAGAGAGGAGAGGAGAGCAGGGAGGAGCAGCAGAGGAGGTCAGAGGAGAGGAGAGAGGAGGGGGCAGGCGGGAGGAGCAGGAGAGGAGAGAGGAGGGGGCCGGCGGGCGGCCGCGCGGCGGGCGGGATCGGGACTGTACAGATCCCCCCCCCCCAGGGGGTGGCCCAGCAGCGGAGGGCGCGCAGCACTGGGGCCTGCCAGGCCCAGCATGGGGAGAGGGGGAGGAGGAGGAGGAGGAGGAGGAGGAGGAGGAGGAGGAGGAGGTGGAGGGGGAGGAGGAGGAGGAGAGGAGGAGGAGAGGAGGAGGAGGAGGAAGGTGGAGGGGTGGGAGGGGGAGGAGGAGGAGGAGGATAGGAGGAGGAGGAGGAGGAGGAGGAAGAGGAGAGGAGGAGAGGAGGGGGGAGAGAGGAGGAGGGGAGGAGGAGGAGGAGGTAGGAGGAGGAGGAGGAGGAGGAGGAGGAGGAGAGGAGGAGGAGGAGGAGGGGTGGGGAGGAGGAGGAGGAGGAGGAGGAGGAGGAGGGGGGGTGGGTTGGAGGAGGAGGAGAGGAGAAGAAGGAGGCGGAGAAGGCGGAGGAGGCGGAGGAGGAGGAGGAGGAGGAGGAGGAGGAGGAGGAGGAGGAGGAGGAGCCTCGAGGAGAGATAGTGCAAAGGGCACGTGGATTCCCGCGGGGCCATCTCTGGTCGCTCTCGAGTCTTGCGAAGCCGATCGGCCTGCCCAAGTCTCCTGAGCCGGCCCCTCGTGCCGCATCTGGACGATGCGCATCAGCACCGTGAGGACGAGGCCGCAAGAGACAACACCCTCGCAGAGGCCCAGCCCTGGAGACCCGCGCGAGGGGTGCGAGTTCGGGGGAGCCCGGGGCACCCCGAACGCAGAAGCTCCGTCCAGGGCCGCGGGAAGTCACCGCGCAGCGCGAGGAGCGAAGAAACCCAGTGTAACCTGACGGAAAAAAAAAACACATATGGCTTCTTGATGCGCGCCCCACTGTAGTGCATGTTGCCTTCACGGTAGGATCACGCGGCGTCAGCGCGCGCAAAGGTTCTCGACACCTCGTCGATCGTTCAGAACTGAAACCCGCCGGGTCCCGTGGCGTCACCGCGTCCTTCGGTGATTCCGCGTCGCTCTGCCGTACGGAGGTCGACCTTCGAACTCGGAAATCTACTGACCTGGGTCAATCCAGCACCCGGTCAGCCAGGCCTTGCGGGATCCTGCAAGATC